ACAGATCATGAAGGACAGAGGGAGAACTTAACCCCCAGTCCAGTGGGGTCTGTTCAAAGGGTAGATCTCAGTAAGCCAGGGCAGAGAAGAACCTCATCAGTGTGAATAATGTGCTTCAACACCTATTTGGAATGGTGTGTTTGCCTCCTGGGAAAAGTTAAGTTAAAGTTTGTTTGTGAAGTAAAAGTTAAGTTTGTTTCCTGAAATTAGGGTAAAAAACAAGTTGTCTAACTCAAACCCTGACGTGCCTGTTGTTCTTTGTTTCTCCTTTCCAGGAGCGAAAGCCATTCAGAGCCTGTGCAGGCAGCCCCTCGCTCTCCCTCCTTCTTCTACCGAGTGTTGAGAGCAGCTTTACCCCTGCAGCTGTTCTTCCTGCTGCTTCTGCTGCTGGCTTGCATGATCCCCTCCTCTGAGGAAGACTACAGCTGCACCCAGGCCAACAACTTTGCCCGCTCCTTCTACCCCATGCTGCGCTACACCAACGGGCCCCCGCCCACCTAGGGCAGCCTGCACTCTCACTGAACACTCTTGGGTGGTGCTTTTTTCTCCCATGCTGCTCTAGCATCGATCAAGCAGTGAGTTTCACATCTCAAAATGTATATCTTGACAGAATTTCAGCGTTTTTTGTACGGGAAACAAAACTTTTTCTATAGATTTTTTTTAAAACTGTAAGCAACACACTTTCTACTTTGATGCAATAGATACACTATTTTGTAGGGGCAGTGCTCTTGAGTTTGCAAGGTGTTTGGATACTGAGTTCTTAGGTGCAGAAATGACATCACAGTAATGTTAAACATAGCAGTCTGTCTTGGGTGAGCATGACACACAAGCAGGTGAAGAGGGACTTCATTGAATATGATTTCTGCACACACACACTTCACATCACTTGTATCTTTTGGTACTGTAGTCACTTGGTGGAAGCAAAAAAATTGCATATTTTTGAATCTTTGTTGTTGTATTTTATTCATCTAACACATTCAATGTCATGATGCACATTTGTTTTGTTTGACATAAAGTGTTCGAGTAGTTAGGACTGCTGTGTTGTCTTTTTATACCACCTTGGAAATAAGGAATTGCTGCATTGCATGGAAATGGTTTATAATGCACATATTTTCTAGATGAACATGATTATGTAGACTATCCCTGATGTATACAAATAGTGCAATGACTTTTTTAATGAAAGTTTTTTTTTCATTTTTTAACCTGCTGAATAGTGTACAGTACCTTGGGAGAGAATTGTGCATTTTTATAAGCTTTGTTTTTAAAATGAAACTGGCATGTGGGCAGTGGCTGGAGAAACACTGTGTACAGTCAGCATTGCCACTGCCCCTCTGTTGTACAGTTTGAGTACTGTCATTAAAATTTTGCCAATGTCTGCAGGACTGTGGGTGTGTCTAGTGGGGGGACCAGCTTCATGTTCCAGCAGTGCTGCCCCTCACACTCCTGGAAGAGTCCATTTCTTTGCCTGCTAAAGGAGTGGTGCTGGAAGAAGCACAACCACTCCCTTGCTTGTCAGAGCAAGACATCACAAATCCAGCAGTGGGACCTGTTCCATGGCACACATCCTTCCCTTTGGAACTGCTTTCCTGGAGGAAGAACACAAAGCTGAACCAATTCATGCTTACTGGTTTGAAATGCTGAACTATTTCCCACTCTGGAACTGAGTTTCTACAGTGGGAGTGCTGGAGTGGGGAAATGCATGTGAGGGAGGGCTCAGGGCAGTAGTAAGGGCTTTGGTCAACAGCTTTTTGTGTGTGGCAGTGGATCTGACCCAGGAATTAGCCACTTTCTGCAGTGCTTACCCATGGAAAATAAGGTCTCTGATGAGCCTGTGAGAGTTCTCCCACCCTTTCTACACTTGTCACCACTGTGGGTGCTGATTCCCCCCTGGGAGAGGGCTTTACAAAGCAAACTGCTTTGTCCTCATGGTCAGAAAATGGCCAAACCAGCAGCTTTTTCCCAGCCATGGTTGCAAACCCACTGTGGTTTATTTCCAGGACATGAAACTAAACTCGTAGGGCTGTGTTGAGGAGCCAGACTTGTGCTCTCACACTGGGGCTGTACCCAGAGATGGATCCCCCTCACTGCACACAACCACACACACTGTCCTCTCTCTCTCTGCAACCATTATTTGATATTTTCAAAGCAATTACCTTAGGATGGAGCTCATTTAAGTTTCTTTCTCTGTAGAAGTGAGCCAACTCCAACCATTATTTCATTGCCAGGTTGTCACAAATGCCCATGCAGACCTTTCTGCCAAGAAGTAATAGGCAGTTGCTGACGTGATATTCAGTTCTTCTTCCATTAAAGAACCTATGCAGGGGAAAAAAATTGAACAATGTTAAAAGGTCTAAGGAAAATTTCATAGCCTACAATTTCCTTTCATTATGAACAGTTATATCAAATTGTTGAGCTGATGTAATATATAAAAAGAGGAGCTTTCAAGAAATTATCTCAAAATGTCACTAAAAAACAATGTCTGGGAAATAGCTTAAATCTTTTTCATTCCACACCTATTTTAAATAGTTTTATTTCCAATTGATTATAATCACTGCACTGTAGGCTGACACTGAAGTCTGCTTTAAACAAGTCATTTTATATCCCCAACAATTTCTTTGTGTCATCATCTCTTTTACGACTGGGTTGTTAGTGTCCAGGGAAGGATAAAAAAAAATATTTTAAAGAGAGAACAGATGCAGAATTCAGAGCAATCCATTATGGTTGTGCACCTGCATTGAGAAATCAAACCCAGCCAAAACCAGTTTTGAATTAAAGTCTTATTTTTTGGCAGTGAGATGAGGCCCTGGTTTGTTTTCAGCTATACCCACCCTGCTCCAGCAGAGTCAGCAGTGATGAGAAGGCTCCAGGGAGACTTTGGAGCAAATTCTGGTACCTAAAGGGGCCCTACTGGAGAGCTGCAGGTTCTTACAAGGGGATGTAATGGTGGGACAAAGGGTGGTGGCTCTAAACTGACAAAGGACAGCTTTAGATGAGGTGTTGGGAAGAAATTCAGTGCTGTGAGGGTGGTGAGTGCTGAGATAAGTTGTGCAGAGAAGCTGTGGCTGCTCCATCCCTGGAAGTGCTCAAGGCCAGGTTGGATGGGGCTTGGAGCACCCTGGAATGGGGGAAGGTGACTCAGTCACTGAGCACACACATTTCGTGCTCATGAGACCAGGCTGAGCTCAGCTGCAGGAGAGAAATGAACAAAAAGCAATGTATTTACATTGCATGGTGCCTGTTTAGTCAGCTGCACCAATCCACAACAATGAAACACAGCAACAGACAAATGCCATCAGTTCACAGAACTAAAGACAGCTGGGGGAAGGGGAGGGGCTGGGGTGTTGTGGGGTTGTTTTCACATTACCATAACATACATCAAGTGCTTTAAAAGGCACCACTTTCAGTCAGGAACTTGATTCCATTACAAACTCGCAGAATGAAATGTTGAAACTAAAATGACAGGACTGAGAACAAAACCTTTTGTGGAAAACAGGCATAGGAGATGTGGAGTAAGCGCTGGTAATGGCTGTGTCAGCTCCTCTGTGACACTCTGATGAGTGAAGAAGGTTTTGTCTGTTGAGGCAATAGCAGCAGATGTTGGCATTTTTATAGCGAAGCAGTCTCTTTTTTGTGGACTTAAATCAAAATTGCTAACACTCAGCAATACGTGAGGAGTGTAGGTGACTCTTAAATGCAAAGATGGAGTTAAATATTACACATCATAAATAAAATGAAGCCTTAGCTATGAAAGTGCCATTTAACACATCACACTTCACTTTAGTAGTAAAATACTGTGAAAAATGAATGTAAATAATACTTATGTTCCACATTGCAGCACTTGCTTTTCATGCTCCCATTTGCAGCAATCTCTTTAGAATTGGTTTGGGACCTGGGTCAGCACAATAGGTCACATCTTACCTGCTTTGCTGACCCATCATCTCACAGGACCTAAGTAATTCAAACCATTTTTTCTGAGATGGGTGGTGATGATAGCAAAAGGTTTTCCATGGCTTCTAGGTCTGACTGTAGTGAAGTGTGAAAAGATGGCCTGGGGTAAGCTTAGAGGAAGCTGAGAAGTTGTGTTTGCATCCCAACAGTACAAAAACTGGAGGGTAAAATGCAGTTGCTATTCCCTGGCTGGAATATGGTTGGATTTTTCAAAACCATTCCACAGTGAGTCCCAACACCCACAATCTGCAGCCAGAACCTCCTGAGGGAGGGTGGAATGGAGGGTGGGGTGGGTTGGAGACACCTGGCCAGGCTCTGTAGAGATCCTTGCAGGGAGGGGAGACTTGGAGCAGCTTCCAGTACCTGAAGGGGCCACAACAGAGCTGGAGAGGGAGTTCTGACAAGGGCATGGAGTGCCAAGACACTGTGAGGGTGTTGAGACAGTGAAAGAAGTTGTGGATGCTCCTTTCCTGGAAATCTTCAAGGCCAGGCTGGATGGAGCTCTGAGCAACCGGATCTGGTGAAAGTGTCCCTGCCCATGCCCATGCCAGGGTGTGCTGTTAAAAAGTTTGACCTTCCTTCCTTCCTTTTTTCTTTCCTTTTTTTTGTTTAAACTCATGACAATTGTCCCTCTTGCCCGAGCCAGGTTTGCTCACTCTGTGAACATCCCAGAAGTGCAGCACCATCTCTCAAGCAGCAGCAGCACTGAGAAGCTGAGTCGCAGCCAGGCAGTGAAGGAAAGCAGTGGAACAGCCCCTCCTCAGAGCCCCTGAGGACTCCCCTCATCCCCCCTGAGACTGGGACAGCCCCAGTATCCCAATGGAAGCACAGTGGGACAGCTGTGCTCCAGGCTGGCAGGGACAGGGATGTGCACACCAGGAATGCAGCGCCTGGGGCAGTCTGGGGGATCCGGACCTGAGACAAACCCAACATCTGTCTCGAGAGAGCCACCCTCGTTCAGTCACTGCCACACCTCCCTGTGCTGTTGAAATGAGCATTTTCCCCTCACCCCAGTATGAACACAGCTCCATTAATCCAGACTCCACAGCTGGTGACTTCCACCCATTTCGAAACATCGTAAGTAACTTTTAATAAAACCATGTTCAACAAGCCAAAAAGTAGGTTAAAATCACATCATTTTCCAATTTGCACTGTACTAACAGCAACATAGATGAACACCACCACGTAGCACAAAACTGCAGCACATCCCTTTTACAGAGTCAGTCCACAGCAAACTTCCATCTAGAAGATAATTTCATGATTTATACCCAGTCTTTCCCATTTTCTCTTCAAAAGGTTTGTTCCAAGATTGTACACAAATTTAGCACTTTTAAAGCAAAACAATCAAATCACTTAAACATTTCTTTGAAAAATGTATTAAACCAAAAGATTGCACAGGATAAGGAAAATCAGAGAAAGAGCAACACAACAGGCAATGAGGCCAGAACACAATCAAGCCCAAGAAATACCGAGACAGGTTTGTTCCACAGCAAAACATCTCTCAAAATGAAAGTACCAATAAATTCCAGACTGTACTCACATTTTTTCCCTTTTTTTTCATTGTAAATATTACACATCTTTAGAAGGACACAGCTATATTACAGTTTCTTAAAAACAATAAAAAGGCAGAGAGTAAAAATTTAGATCAGCAGCAGCATCTGGTATAGTTAGTACAAGATCAAAACAGACAATAGATGTGTAACTCACTGAAAACCTCCTATAAAAAAATACTGTCCTTGGCTTTAAAAAACCACCAAGATTAACGGTTTGACTAATATTCAAAATATGCAAATGGCATACTAATCAAAGTCCCTAATGCAAAAGACTGAGGGGCTCAAAATAGACTTTTGGTGTGATCCCAATTCATTTCACCATAATGCCCAGAACATGCATGTGCTATATTTAAATGTTTCCATGTAGAGACAGTTACCAGAATGAATGATGCCACCCTGCTGACCTTTAAGGTCATCAGCCAGGCCATTTAATCAGGTTTGTTTCTTTTTTTTACTCAGTGCAGCTTAAACACATGCAGAAATCAGCACAAAAAGGAAGTTTAAACCACTACATCTTCAGTGTAATTCAAACAAGTCATCACGCCTGCAAAGCAAAGCAGTGCTTTACATTATCCCCATCTTTACACTGCCTTTACATTTACCATTATCCCCATCTTTACCCTGTCTTTACATTTACCATTATCCCCATCTTTACCCTGTCTTTACAATTATCCCCATCTTTACACTGCCTTTACGTTTACCATTATCCCCATCCTCGCTCTTTGAGGGCTCCTATAAAGATATGAAGACCACAGCACAAGGTGCCATGCATGCTGAGAGCAAGCAAGCAGCAAACCTCAGGGCAGCAGACAAAAACAGATCCCCATCCATGTTCCCATCCAGTGCCTCACCCCCTGCAAGAGGTTTTGGGTGGGCAGGACGTAATTCCACACACCAGTCAAAGGGGTGGGAAGATTTTTTTTTGTTTTCCTAGCTGGTTTCACAAGGCCTGATCAGCAGATCATATACAAATACAAACAGTTAATATTCACAGAGCAACTTCTTGTACCTAATTATCAGAATAGATTTAACATAATTAATAAATATATAAAACAACATGATAAACTCACAGACAAAACACATCTCAAAGGTCAGCATTGACTGAGATATTCAGACGATTTGGTCGTTGCTTAAAGCACTGAAGAATTATAAGCAGATAACAATGTGAGTGTTAAGAACAGGCTCACAAAATACAAACTTAAGATCAATTTAAACTTTCTGCAAAGGCTCTGAACTGACCCTAGAAGCTATTTCAAATGACCTTCAAATGAAGGCTCTTGCAGCCATTGCATATTTGAGAATAAGCTCCTTTACGCTGTCTGTATCTCGGCACTTTATCCAGATCAGCTGCAGAGCAGGCATTCCCCAGGGACCAGCACACAGAGGTAAACATCTGTCCCAAATGATGCTGTCCTACATTTCACACCATCCCGTGCTGAAAGAGGACATTGTTCAGTCAGTTCTTAAAAGTCTTGCTCTGGGAGACAGAGACCAACGTGCTCTCTCCAGGCTTCTCAGACCTGTCCTTTACCTCTCCCTCTCAGTTGTGCCTCTGAGAAGGAGAGGCAGCAATCCCCTGTCCCACAGCGCTGTTCTGAGGCTTGATTTCATAAGGTGCTTTTGCAGAGTCCCAGAAAAGGCACTAGAGCAGTGCAGCTGTTGCAATGTCAGACACACAGACTGAGGCGAGCGCCCGCGGCCTCTCCCGAGACACCCGTGTGCAAATCCAGAAGGGATGAGAGCCCACGCCAGCTCACACCTCTGCAGCCCCATCACAGCAGCTCTGTTTTCCCCCATAGCTCTGAAAAAGTCTCACATTTCCAGGCCTTGCACAATTACTGGGGTGCCCCATTCCTCAGGCTGTCTGCAGGCTCCATTTGCTCCAGTGGGCCAAACTCGGGGTGTGTGGCCAGGGACTTCCTCTGCCCCCGCAGGGTGTGAGCATTCAGCATCTCCAGCAGCAGGTCATACACTGGCACCACGTTCTTACACTTCATGCTCAGGAGATGCTCCATTCCCTTGTTACTGTGCAGGAGAACAGAAAATAACTCAGCAGTCTGGTTCCAACAGTGCAGAGAAGAAAAACACGCCCATGGTTTCAAGTGACTCCCTTTGTTAATTTGGATTTAAGAGGATTTAGCTGCTGTGGTCCCTGAGGTCACTTACACTACCAACAGTCACAACATCCCAATACTTTAAGGCTGAATGTTCTGATGTTTAGAGAAGCAGGTTTTGTTTTACACCACACAAATCCTTTCAGGAAATAATTCAGATATATCAACACTATTGAAATGAAAGGAAAACCTCTTGGATGCTGTAAAGGCCCCATACTGAAGCTTTATGCAATAGAGGGATGTAAAAATGCAGTTTACTAAAGACTACCTACCTCTCCTACCTGACTGAGTAGGAAGCCCTAATTACCCAGCTAATTTCAAGCACTTTGTTTACTCTCTGCATGTCCAGTGAGAGGATCTTGCAGTGGCTGCAGACTTTAAAATAATCTCTCTGTTATGCAGTAACATACAATGACATCTTGCTAGCTTGAACATTCAGTGCTGTATCATGGTTTGGACTAAAAATGTCTATTGCCATTGCAGCCACACGTATTTATACTCCAGATGCACTCAGGGGTTGGGGTTGAGATCTAAGGGTGCTTGCTCAACACCAAATCCACCCCGGTGGAACGAGCAGCACACAGCTGAGCTGGTGAGTTGGGCTGGGAGGGGGACAATGCTCCCAGATAAACAAGGTTCTGATACAATTCAAGAGTTACATGTTAATGGGCAAGAAGAAATTGCAGCCCTTGCCCCACACCCAGCTCTCAATTATTTCCAGAACAAAGTCTAATTGACGGACCAGCACCAAGTAACCTGAAGGAGACAGGACACAACAAGCAGCCTCCAGATTTTGGCTGAGGGAGACACAGCATAATGAGAAAATATGGCTTAATGAGAAAATATGAAAATTTCACAAAGATTTGTGATGCTTGTTCATGGAATGCCCAAACAGTTTCTGCAAAGCTGTGGAGTCACATCACAGAGGACAATCCAGGTGATGGCAGATATCAGAGCCATGAGACAGGTTCAGCTCTGGCTGGGGCTGGAGCTTTTGCAAGGTCAGCTCTCAAACTCACCCCCAGCCCACAAACTGACTGTTAAAAGCTGGATTTCAGCACCATCAGATCCCTGCTGCTGCCTTTGCTCTCCCAGGGAAGTTCATTGCAAAGGTGGCCATCCCCTTTTCAGTGTCCCTACAGATGTGCCCAGCTCTGCTTTGTGTGCTCCAGCCTGGTCCCAGGACATCTTCCCTGCACACACAGTCCAAAATCAAGCCATGAGACAGCTTAGTCAACAGCTGGCCTCTGGGTAATAATTTAAAATGACAGATTGAAAATCAAAACCTCTCTTTGTAGGACCCTCATTTCAGTCTGCTGTACCACAAGCAGAGCTGGACCTCTCAGAGGAGATTCAGGAACTGGAGACACTTCCCATGGAAAAAGCAGGAGCCTGGCATTGCTGTAGCATGAGCCATTTGGCAAAACTCTGTGGCTCCATGTAAAAGACAACAAATTTGGTGTGGGAAAAACATGGTCCCCAAAATCCACTTTGCTCTACCAAAGCCCACACTGCAAATCAGTTTTGGAAGAGATTTTCATTTTGAATAGAAGGGTTTTGATGGCTGGATGAAAGGCTCAATTTGTGTTATTGTTAAACATTTCAGGCAGACACATAATGAATAGTTTAATGTAACAAGATTAAGACAACATTTTCATATCATCATGTCTTTGAGCGCCAGCAAGCACTTGAGTTGACTGCCTGTTTTGTTGTGCTGGGAAGGAAAGCCTCACAGTGGCAGAGGTGCAGAGCAGCACCAGGATTCCCTCAGGAGTGCTGTGGAGTCCAGCCACCCCCTTTTTTGCTGTAATGAACAAACAGTGCCATAACACAAGTGTTACACACCCTCTGCAGACCGTACCTGGCGTGCCTGACGTGGGAGAGCAGCATCAGCAGATTGGCCAGGCGAGTGGTCTGCTGCTGAGAGGGGATGCCACTCTTGGCAATGACCCACACCAAAGCCTCTGTGACCACGTTGAGCAGGTGGTGCAGCTTCCTGTTGCTCTCAGGCTCCTCTGCTGACAAGGGGAACATGCCTAAACAGAGAAAGGGAAGAAATATTTGCTGCTGGTGAGGAAGGAAAAAAGCTGCAACTGTAGATTTTTAAAATATGTAATATTTCAACAAAATTAGAGAAGATACATGCCCTGACACCCCCCTCCAGACTGTACAAATGATGCTCTATATGCCACATCAAGATTGAATTTGATAGCCTCATCATGTGCAAAGTGAGAAATTCTTCCAAACCCTCCTTGGACTTGTTGCACATGAACCCTTCAGTCAGGTCATGACATACTCTCCCATTCTCCAGGGTTTTTTCCCCCTGTACCTTGTATTTTGTGTTATTATGAACTATAATATTATGCTTGTTCTAATCCCTTCTTGTTGAAAAAAACCCTTTTTTCCTGAGTATATAATAGGGAGGAAGGAGAACATGGCAGTGACACTGCTCAGAGCGACCCAGTGGTCATGGTCTCCCTACAGATCACTAAGGGTGTCATAATAACAGCAAAGGTCTGCAATGAGAAACCTTGTTGTGCTGGGAAGGAAAGCCTCACAGTGAGGCTTTGCTGACAGAAAGTCAGCAAAACCAAAACAAAACAAAAAAGAAAAAAAAACCAAACCAAAAACCAAACAAAACAACAAAAACCCTACAAAAATACAATAAAAAAAAAAAAAAGAAGAAGAAAAGAAAAAGAAGAGGTTTGGGGATATGGACAACAGAAAAAATAAATCATCACTAAGAAGGTCTGGAAACACACAATAACATTATTGATAAAGTAGAAGAGACCTGGGACAAGGGAAAGAAAAAATCTCAACAGTCCCTTCAGAGATACCTATGGATGGACAGAGCTCCAGAGCACCTTGAAAATTAGGGACAAATTATTAATTTTGTCAAGAAGGGAGAGTAAAAGAAGAGACTGGACAGATCTTTTAAAACATGAACTTTGAAGAAAATATGGCTGATGAATGTGGAATTTGGTTGGGGCTTTTTGGTTGGTTTTTTGCAGGTTGTTTTGTTTTGTTGTTTGGAGGTTTTTTTATGGGTATTTTAGGGAAAAAAAAAGAACAGCTTTTGTTGTTTGTTGAAATAGTGGTCTCCACAGAACCATAGAAACATCTAGGCTGGAAAAACCTTTAAGGTCAAGCCCAGCCTTTGACCCAGCACTACCAAGGCCATCACTAAACCACATCCCCAGGTGCCACATTTTAAATCCCTCCAGGGATGATGACGCCACCACTTGCCCGGGCAGCCTGTTCCAATGCCTGACCACCCCTTTGGTGAAGAAATTGTTCCTAATATCCAACCTAAACCACTCCTGCTGCAGCTTGAAGCCATTTCCTCTCATCATCATCATCATGGCTTTCCAACCACTGTTCCCCAGCCTGTGTCACTGCAGGAGGATTTTGTGGCCAAAGTGCAGGACCCAGCTCTTGGTTCTGGTGCTGTTGGTCCTGACCCATCAATCCAGCCTGCCCAGATCCCTCTGCAGAGCCTTCCTCCCCTCCAGCAGATCAACCCTCCAACTCAAACAAGGGGCAGACAAGTGGGATTGCAGCTGGACTGTTCCCCTTCAGTACTGGGCTAAGAATGATGCAGCAGCTTCTTGCTGAAAGCACTAGATGTAAATATCTTAGCTGCTATTTTGTTGTGGGATTTTGTTCTTTGTCAATATTGACTCTGAAATGTTCTGGGGAAAAAAGTAATTTTTACTGCAGGCTACCCTAAACTAGCAAAACCACACCTAGTGTGAGAGGCTGCAAAGCAAAGCTCCTGTCCTCTGCAGAACTGCTGAGTACTTCCAATCATTTCTAACCAACTCATCACCATTAAATAGGAACATTTAAGCCCCATTCATCATCACTCCGTTGAGTAACTAGTAGTACTAGAATTAAGAATTAAGGACAGATTTGTAGGACTGTATAGTAACTTCACATATGACCAGGATCCACAAAGATAGGACCAAAATTTCCCATCCAAAAGGAGCCATGAGCCCCATCTTGTGAGAAACTATCAGAATTTGGGGTCTTTCATGCAGAACGTGACATAGCCCCTAAATACAGCAAATTATACAGCTTAGAGGTTTCCTGAGCAAAAATCTTTACAATCTATCAGAGACAAATCCTTTCCTATTATTCTCTCCCAACAGTTTTTTATCATTTGACATTTTGGGTTTTTTGAGGCTGGTTTCCCAGCCACCCTCAGAATGAAAGGTGCAGTTTTGGTGAGTATTAGAGGCAAGCACATACTCACTGGAATTGAGGAGGATCATTGCCTTGACACACAGATACTCCTTGTGCTGCAGCTTCAGCTCTCGGAACCTTGAGGTCATGGCCAGGAGCATGTCAAAGATCTCCAAAATCCCCTCTACACATTTCCCCTCATCCCTATGGAAACACATTCAACATGTTACCAAAAAAGTAGAATTAAGGAACTGACTCAGACAGATAAAAGCCAAAGCATGAAGGAGGCTGAAGAAGGCCCATCTTATCTCATATTCGGGAGGATTTAAAAGGCTCTGTCATGAAATCTGAATTGACAAATACACTGGTGTGAAAGGTCAGCATTTACAAGAAACTGATTTTCTCATTAAAGTGCAAGCAGGATTGGCCATAAGTGTGATCATATTTCTGTATCCTCTAAGCCTGTATAATTCTGGATAATCAGTCTGAAATCCTGTAGTGCAGGGCACAATACCACCTTGAATAATTTTCCAGATTTGCTTCATAAGGAGTTACCCACAACCAATAACATGTGTACAAAATGGAGGCCTCGAGACTTGGTAAAGGAAGAAGGGTTCCCAAAATAAGTTGCTTGGAATAACAAGACCTTTTTAAAGAATAAAACAACTCTTGTCCCTATCTCCTGGCACTATTTTCTGGGAAGGTATTGAAAGTTATTTGAGGTTTTGGTGGTTTTGTGGTTTGGATGTTTTTATATTTGCAAATATTTACAGAATGCAACTTTCCCCATCTTGGACATGAGAAGTGGTCTTATTTTCAGATCTGAAAAACACCCCAAACAAGTCGTTCCGATTTGTTTAAAATTCAGCAGTGGCAAATCTCAAGCTACCGAAGTTGCTGTTTCAGTTTTTTTGTTAGTTTTGTTTTATATGTACTAGACTAAAAAAGGGATTAAGCTCTACAACAACAGTATTCAAAGGGAGGCTCCTTATCCTCTTTATCACAGGAGATTTTTTTTCTCTGTAACATTTTTAAGACAAGACAGATTTAAGCACAGCAGTGCAGGAGAATAAAATAAATTTACTGGATCCCAAGAAAAAGGTGCTGAGCCTTCAGGCTGGAGGTAGGAACATGCAGGCAACACCACCTTGGGCAGCAGGTTCTGCCTGCAAAAAGTATTTTTTATTGCCCAGTTTCCTGTGTTCCTCATAGCAAAGAATATTGAGCTTTTATTAAGGGAATGAGATGATTATTAAGGTCCCTTCCAAGCCAAACCATTCTGGGATTCTAAGTTCAGCTTAGAACTTATCCTCTGTAAGATAAAAACAGTCAAGTTACAGACCAGGTTCATATAAGGATACCCTGAATAAAATTACAGCATGCCCAGACACTTGTAAGCTCCCACTCTGCCATGTCTTGAGGAAATGAAGAAATGCATCAAATATTCTCAAAACTCTTGAGCAATTAAATGTATTGTACATTTTCATCAATTTCTGGTCATTGCACTGAACAGTGCAGCATGTCCTTGCATTGAATTTTATATGAGCAAATAATATTTATTTCCTCTCTTTTATAAATTATTTTTTTTAATAAGCCAATTTTACCTATCTGCATCTACAATGATAATTATTGATTGCATGTCACAGAACTGGTGCAAATCTCAATTTCCCCAGGTTGAAAAGATATTTTAAAACTACCTAAGAGAGTAGATTGCTTCCCTAACTTTTTACCAATGTGAAGCACAGGTCAAATCCTTCTAAGGTTCTGTAAAAAAACATCCTTACTAATCCATATTCTTCCTTCCTAGTACATGATGCTATGGAGAAATAATCTTTAAACTTGAAAACATTCTGCTGTAGCTTGAAAAAATATTCTTAGTATCCAACAGCAAGCCAGGGGTCTTTAAATCCCTCTCAGCTAGTGCTCCAATGTTCACTATTACAGCTAACTATAAAGTCTGCTGTAGTGGCAGGAACAAAACAGGCAGGAAACCTATTTAAAATAATTAAAATACTGCCTGAAACTATATCTTCTTTTTAATGTGGGATGTAGGGACAAACAGACCCAAACAGACAAACAGAAAATGTAGAAGAAGTGCCTTGTGTTGCTGTATTGACATTCAGCATATGAGACCTGGAACAAAGGGAACAAAACCACCAAAAGATAGGAAAAAATTATGAGAAACTTCACACTCAGTGCTAGAGGAGTTCAGGAATTTGCAAGTTCAACAATGCTTTTAAAGCTTAGCATTCCTTAAGCCCTGTAAGGATGTGGAACCTTAGGACATGATTGTTACAAGCACAAGTAAATGATATTGTTAGATGAAGTATTAGTAACATCTGCCGTGTTTTATCTTCTTCCCCACCTTCAACCACACTAATATGAAGTGTTCTCAATAAATTTATTCCTCTTACCTGTCTAATACAAGGTCTGGTGCAAAAATCAGTTTCCCAGGATGGTCGATGGATCTCCACATCAAACCAATCATCAGAACTTCCATCCAGCAGCTCTCCAAGAGCCTCACTTGGTCATAGAGGCTGAGATCAATGAAGCCTAAAGTGATGCAAATAGCATAAAATAAATCAACTTGTTAAATGTTCTGTTTTAATAAAGAAAAATGAGAATATGAGAAACAAAAAAAGCCAGAAAGAACTACGGGTTGTGAAGATAAGGGAGCACTGACATCCACAGTGGCAGGCTGCCACTTGAAATAGGAACCAAAATATTTGCAATTATCATCATCTACAAAATATTTGGAGTAAAGCAGAGTGGTGTTTTAGTGCAATTAGTCCCATACAGCTGGTGAAACTCAAATGACTGCAGAGTCACCTGCTTTATGTTCTTGTCCTAAAGGAGGAGAGATGTTAGAAGAAATATTGTGAGGGAGAGGCACTGGCAGAGGATGCCCAGAAAAGCTGTGGATGCCCCATCCCTGGAAATGCTCAGGCTGGATGGGGCTCTGAGCAACCTGGGATAGGGGAAGGTGCCCCTGCACATGTCAGAGGGTTGGAACAAGGTGATCTTTGAGGTCCCTGCCAACCCCACTCATTCCACGATTCTGTGATTCATTTCTCTCCAGAACTCTTAGCAAGGCCTCAGATAACTCTGCAGCACAGCCAGAGGGCAGAGATAGTCACAGCCAACCTCTTCTCTTCCTTTGCAAAACAGCAACAAAAAAAAAAAAAGACTGGGGAAAAAATAATGCTTAGAAGTCAAAAGACAAAATAGGAGAAATAAAATTCATACACTCCAAACCAAAAGATCAGAAGTGTAAATTATCAAAACATGGGTGGGAAAACAGACTAGAGGAAAACAGATATGAGGAAGAGCTGCTCAGTGATCAAAAACAAGATCAGGCCACACTTTTCAAAGTTGAGCTTCTTCAGCTCAGGCCCTTGGCAAAGGTGCTCCATTCTCAGATGAGCTGCCATCTCTGACACTGCTTGGTGACAAATCCAGGCACAGCCTGGCCATGGCAGATTGGTTTCCTGAAGTTCTTCCTGGCTGTTTGAGGTGTTAAAACACACACAGGACATTTGGGCTGCCAAAGAATCTCTCTGTCAGTAATTTATACAAATGCTCCATGCATTTTAATCTTATTACAGGACTCAGCTGGAGGACAGTCAGTGACAGCCAGGGCTGACATGAACTGGGCAAAGCTCACTTTTATCATCACTGAATGTGCTGCTTTCCAGAGCTGGGGCAGGCTTGCCTCTGGTTTCATAGCAGGCATAAACAGGAGCCCAGGAGTGGTGCCTTCCCTCCTGGGTTCCACTGTCACAGAATTTACTGCAGAACACACAGCCAACAACAGATTATCTGCCACACACACTCATCATTTAAAACTGCTTTTAGGGAAATATTCATGGAAGTGTGAAACAGTTCAGAAACTGACAGTGCCAGTTTCCTGGGAAACAACAGCCCAAAGACATTTCAGAGTCTATTTAAATAAACATTTACACTGCCATGTACTGATTTCTCTAGCACAAACAAGGAATTATCAGGTTTAAAGACTCTCTCAGTTGAGTGATGTCAGACCAAGTCCCAGGGTTCAATCTCCAGGTTCTTGAAGATCCAGATTTATCACGGAGGTCATCTGCTAAATTCACATTATCGGTGGCAGCAGCAGGAGCTGTGGCCATTGAGCACAGCTGTTAGAAGGACTCTAATTCTCTTTTCCCTAACAAATCTCATGCTCCAAAGGTGCAGGACAGCAAACAGCCACCACAGCTTTCACTGCAGCCTCAGGAGCCCCATTTTATTTCCTCCAGACTACATTAACCTAATAATTTTTCTCTGGTTGTATTAGACATCCTTTAGATTGTGGGCTCTATTTCTTATAATTTAATTATAGATTGCTAAGACAGAGAAGACAAAAAAAACCCTTGCGCTGGATGTGTAAAACCTAGGAAAAGACACAGTGCTCTGGTCAGCAACACACTGGGCTGCATAATGAACCCAAATTTCGATACTGTGACAACATCTTATTGAGCTGCAATACAGGTTCAGCAATGAACCATGTAAACTCTTTTAGACTAGGTCAGCAAAGCAAAAGGCAATTACAGAAGCTGTGTTCTGCTGCCTGACAACTGAGAATTAAAATACTTGGAATTCAGAAGGAAAAAAATCCAGATGTCAGCTTCTATTTGTGTGAGCAACAAAAAAATAAACTCTATTAGGCTGAAAGTCCAGAACAAAAATACAGCCACAGAGTAAAATTCATAACAAAAGAGTGTCATTAAATATCAAACATTAAAAACCCACAAAATACCAACATGCTTTTTCTCCTATTTATGCAAAAAGCTACTGTTAATACAATAATGGGGTTTTTTTACCTCCAATGAGTATCAAAATAATATCCAATAATAACTTTGAGATGACAATATGACTTCTAACCTGAGTACACAAAAGCAAATATTCAGCTTTTCAGAAAGTAAAATTACTGCTCACTGGGCCATTAGTCAAGAGCCTCTATTTTTTCCTAAAGACCTTACCTCTAGGAACCAGGCAGGGATCAGCATGATTACATATAGGCAAGAGTTTTTGAAAAATAAAATTCCATGTCCTCAGTGTTAGTCATCACAGCTTTTTAATGAAAAACAAAAAATCAGTCCACGTTGAAGTTAATGGTTCGACTGCCATGGGATACAGCAGTGTCACTTATAATTGGGTGTATATTAAACATCCCATCTATTTTTGGCATTGCTCTAAAATGCTGTTTATTTCTGTTCTCCATAACAGGAGTGATTAGAAAAAACAAACAGAGACAACAAAGTGTCAGCATTCCCAAAAACTGTTTTGAAGGGGTTTGACTGCTTCAATGGGTTTTCTTCATACAGTTCTCTTACTGCCAATAAAAAGTTTTTATTTGCCCCATTATCAGAAGAAATGAACTTCTTCCTGCGTCACTCAGCCATGATGACACCATTAGGATTCAGAGGAAGAAGTTGACACTGACTAGACAGAATCCTTTGTTTGAATGGAATTTATGCATCATGTATGAGGTGTATGAATACGCAACAGGCTATTGTTTTTAAGGGTTAATCCTCTGTTAACGGGTGTCCTTTTTCAGGCTTATTTTGCCCAGAAAAAGTACCCAGACCATCTGTAATTCTTTGTTCTTATTGTCTCATATTGTCCTAAATCCTAATTGTCCAAATTTCTATTACTCTAATTATATTACTATTCTTATAACCATTTTATTACTATTAAACGTTTAAAATTCTAAAAACAAATGATTGGTGTTTGTCACATATACCATGCACCTACTGTGCTGCTCTGTCACGTCAGAGCAGAGGACACATTGCTGGGTAAAACCATTGACCAAAACAAACAAAACCATGGACCAAAACCAAACCATTGACCAAAACAAACAAAACCATTGACCAAAACAAACCAAACCATTGACCAAAACAAACCAAACCATGGACCAAAACCAAACCATTGACCAAAACAAACAAAACCATTGAGCAAAACAAACCAAACCATTGACCAAAACCAAACCATTGACCAAAACAAACAAAACCACTGACCAAAACCAAACCATTGACCAAAACAAACAAAACCACTGACCAAAACAAACCAAACCATTGACCAAAACCAAACCATTGACCAAAACAAACAAAACCATGGACCAAAACCAAACCATTGACCAAAACAAACAAAACCATTGACCAAAACAAACCAAACCATTGACCAAAACAAACCAAACCATGGACCAAAACCAAACCATTGACCAAAACAAACAAAACCATTGAGCAAAACAAACCAAACCATTGACCAAAACCAAACAATTGACCAAAACAAACAACACCATGGACCAAAACAAACAAAACCATTCACCAAAACCAAACAAAGCCGTTCACCAAAACCAAACCAAACCACTGACCAAAACCAAACCAAACCATTGACCAAAACCAAACAAAACCATTGACCAAAACAAACAAAATTCCTCACCAGGAATCTTCTTGGCCCAGCCGATCATGTGCACCAGCTCTTTGTCCGCCAGCTTGGTCAGGGACATCATCATGGAGGCCTCGGTGAAGGGTTTGCTGGGCCTGCTGACCAGCACGTGGGGCGGCTCTGCCTCCAGCAGGGTCAGCACGAACTGCTCGGGGCTGAGGGCGCTCAGCAGGATCTCCTTCACCCGCGTGGCCGCCTCGTTGTACCTCCTGGCCCTGCCCAGGCAGTGCGCGCGCTCCTCGGCGCTGCGGTGGCTCCGCAGGATCCGGTACCCACAGCGTTCTCTCCTGGAGCCTGCCACGAGAACCACACGTTGCATTGGAGAGATTTTCCCCACAGAATTTTCCTCCCTTGTGTAAACCCAAATGGCTCGGGTTTCTGTGGTTAAGATGACCCCTGAGGTGTTAGAAAGTCTCTTTTTTTTCCAGTCCTGTGACTGAAGAAGTCGAGATTCGTCGGTTCTGCTCTTCAAGGTTGTTTATTTTTTCTTATCTATTATATTCTGACTTGGTGAGATCTGTCCAGCAGGTCAGGTTGTGGCACAATGCCTGCCCTGGGGGTGGTGTTGGCGTTTTATACTAAGAACTACCTGTACTTTATTTACAATAATCTTCCAATACTATCACCTGTGTTAGACAGCCTGTCTCTACTCTAAACCAATCCAGAAGTGTCACCATCACAGCAGAAGATGAAGGACAAGAAGAAAGAGAAGAAGGATAGGAGAGGCTCAGATTCCTCCATTACTTACCTCTTGAACCCCCTCATTCTAAAACCCCCAAATTCTACTTTTTCACCTGTGACAAATTAACTATCATTCTACTCAAACTCTTGTGGCCTGTAAATCTTCACACAAAGTTGGTAATTTTTTCCATGGACTAAAATCGAAGGCACAGGTGCTTTTGGCTCTGTGCCAAGGTCTCTGAGCCCCCTGCCAGGGTCTCGAATCACCCAGGGCAGCCAGAGGAATGTCCTGGGTCCTGACACAAATGTTTGGGGAGAAGGAGGAAAACCCTTTAATATTGGCTGTTGTAATATTGAACATTAAGTTTCTAGGACATTCAGCATGGACTTAACTTTGTCCCCCCACTGACTTCAGCTGAGGGGGTTTATTTATTCCCCTAAACAAAGATAAAAAATGTTTGGTTTTGAACCTCAGTTAGCTCGGTTTAAAAGTCCAGTGGAAAACTCCCATTGATATCAAAAAGATATAAATCAGATCTTTAAAGGCAAATAAAGATAGCTGATTGTAAATTTTGCTTTATATATAATCTGGAGGAATAAAAAACTGGAAAGTTTGGGCCAGGTTATGTTGTTACAGATCAGATGCCTCAGGAACGAGCACAAGTGGGCCTCAGAATTAGCTGGATGGTCAGCCAGGTGTTCACAAGATTCAACCCATTTTCTGCCCATACCCCAAAAAGCCAGCAGAAATTTCTCCAAAGGGAATTCAAATATCTACAACTAAGAGCAAATACCCTGTGTGGAGTTCTGTCTGCAGAAGGCTATTTCTGTTACAAAGAGAACTGGTCCTCTACATTCCCAGATTTAACTACTTGTTTGTTCTGACAAATCTAAACATTGTCCAATTCTTGGTCAGTGTTATTGGTAGCATCACTGTTGCCTGTTTTTGCGTAGCTTCCAAGGAAAGAGTCTAAGCTTCTCCAAAACCACAATATTCATAAAATACTCAGCTACAGTTCTACTTCAGCTAGCAAAGAGGTCCAAAGATTAGCCAAATTAAACATAAGGGCAGTGGAGGCACAACAAATTAATTTCAGATGCTGTTGACAAGGCTTTGTCTTGCTAAACAAGATGCTGGGTGACTCTCAGCCTCAGGTGGAGGTGGCTTTCAGGTCATAGTCCTGTCACACCTTCAGCAGCTGTCAAACAGCATCTGGGTCAGTCTGTGGGAGGGGTGGATGCAAAGGCCACTCAGGAACAGCCTGACTGAATAAGGACCAACTGAGTATTCCAGTATTTTCAGGATGTGAACTTTTCAGTTGTCCATGGCTCTCACTCTCACTTGCGGCCTGTTCAGTAAACCATGTTGGATGCAGGGGAAAGTTAAAGAAGTTCTCATTAAAGAAGTTCTCAATATTGGATAACATTCTTTCCCTGGAAATCCGAGAGATTGGAGAAGCCCAACAGGCAAAGCTGGTTTGATGAACAGACCTCAGGCACAGAGCTATCCAAGTGGGACCATTTGGAATTAGTCCAGCTTCAGGTCTGCACCATATGGAGAAAGGATGGTTTTGCAACTTTAAAGGGATGTGGGCAGAATGAAATGGGCTGAGTGCAGACAGGAAATTTGCACAAATAATGGATTGAAGGAAATAAATAATTTGTAGAACCAAATGTTTAGCCAAATGACAACTAGCTAGAAGCTGCCAGAGCAGATGAATAGCAACTAAGGGAAGGTAACATACCAGCAGAGACAGAGCACAAGACATTATCTTATATAGACTGGAATGAGACTTGATGAAAAGACCCCAAACCAGGTTCCCAGCAGAACTACAGAAGTATCAAAGCAATTTCTCCCACCATCAGTCTGGGCAAATCCTTCCTGAGGAGAGTCAAAGGCCACCAAGGCAAAGACTATTTTCTACAAAGACACCTGGATAATGCAGTGAACTCTGTGCTAAGCCTCATTTCTTGCCTAATGCACAAAGGTCAAGAGGAAAATCTTGAAGTGGTTTGTAAGCTTCCAAAAAATACTAGGATTACTTCTGTTCTGAAATCATGTAAAGCATAGAAAGTATGTATTTTCCATCAGGGAAGACAAAAAGTAAAGGCTGAGAGGGAAGTGGGCAACCGGAATGAGAGTGCAGCTGGAGACAGATGAGGAGATGCCCAGGCACCAGGTGCTCTGCCTACAGAGGTGCAGGGCTCTGATCTCCACAGCATGGGAGGGACCATAACCACAAAGCAAGAAATCATATTGTTTTCACTGTTTAGAAACCTGAAGCACATTTCCCAGGGGCACCTTGAAACACAGAACAAGAAAAATAGCCAAGGGAATAAAAGCCATGGGCAGAATAGAGTAAAAATTTTCTTGGGCTATGCAAAAATACCAAATACTCTGTGACATGTGTTATCTGAGTTACCCTTTCCAATTCACTGTTGTAAAGATCTTTAAATAACATTTTGTAGCCTATAATATAAATCTAAGCTTATATAAACATACAGAAAATATAAACACACAGATAATTGAGCAGATACTTTGATGAATATCAAAGAAATCAAATTTAAAAGCAATTTTAAAATAACTTCAGCATTATGTTCTAATTGACAAAATCTTGAACAATTTCCATCTGCACAGCTGCACTCAGTGCTCCATCTAAAGGTAATTCAATCAGGTTATGATTTTGAGAGTATTAAAGGTCTCACAACTTGTGGAGGGTTCTTACTGGGAACTAGCAAATCCCTTTAAAGTACTTTAGCTTATTTAACTGAATTGAGTTTCTTATATAACCTATTCTTATTAATATAAAATATGCTCAATTTAAAACATGTACCAAATTTCTATAATAACATTACCAGTGCAGAAAGTCAGACTAGGAGTATTACATTTCTGCATAAAAAAACCTGCTATTAAAGAAAATATAACTGATGACAAAAAACAAGATGGGAAAAAACCCAACCAAAGCAGATTCTGAGTTATTTGTGGTGGTTTTTATTCACCATATATTGCCAAAGCAGAAGTAGGCTGAATGACCAAGCAGTGTGCATAAAAGATACTTTAAAAAGATACCATTTATTAATACTCTCTAATTTTTTCTGCTTGCATTTAAAGTAAAAGAAAGCTACATTTACATTTTCTAGTCAGCTGACACAGCAGAAAACATCAGTCTTTCCATTTAAAACAAAAGCTTACAACAACAAAAAGGAAGTTCTTTTCTTTCTATTCAAATTCAAAGTTTAGGCAGGACCAAGAAATTTTACTTATATATATATATTAGCATACTACAGACATGTATAATTGTTTATAAAAATATATGTTGTAAATAATTATTGACTAGCCTAATGTTTTGCTTAACCAGATACAGAGATGTGGATCAATGTGTGCAAAAGCAGAGAAATAAAATACATCTTCCTAGATTAGGGGCTATCTTTAACTTTACTACAAACTCCCTAACTGTTCTTAATATCTAATATTCATTTCTATAAAGGTAATTCAGCCAATTGCAGAAGTGCAAAGTGATCAAATCCCTCATTCTTCCTACCGCACTCTCATTATTTAGAGCTACTTTGTGCAAGAAAATTGCTGTATTCAGCTGAGAATTCTGGGCCAAGGGCAAGACCTTGAGCTGCAGCACCACAGACCATGAGTAAATGACCCCATGATATAAGGAGTGAAGCACATTGAAAAAGGTCATTACAATGAGCTTGTTGTTCACTCAGCCACAGCAGGTATTGCTGGCAGTGAAACACACTATTTTTCAAGCCTTGCAAATTTTCTGAAAATCACAAATGCTGTCTGATATGGTAGGTAGCTATGTGGCATGCTGACCTTCACACTGATTTTGGTCCCTGGCAATGGCTCATAAAACCAACCAGTTCTGTAGCAGCTGCAGATTCTACCACTGGGTATTTTATAGTCAGTTTATGAAAGAATCTGAGTGTAAACCTGCTCCAGTACACACTGGTAAATCATGATCACTCCAGCCACCTTTCAAAGCAAATGCAAATGTTCTGGTGAGTACACACTCCAGAGCAGGCTCTCAAATTGAATTCTCAAGAGTAGAGCCACTGACAAAGGAGATGCTGTCTGCCTGTGTGCACATGAGAATGTGAGCAGAAATGCTAGTGATTGCTATAAAAGCTGAAATTCAATTAATATATTTGATGTCCAGAGAATGCCTGGAAACATTTTGTCCCCACTTATTTTCTGTGTGAAAAGTACTTTGGAGTATTTCAGCTGCCCACAGACAGGAGAAAGGGCCAAATCCTGAACCAGCCCACAGAGAAATCTGTTTTCCTCCCTGCAAACTTGTCAAATTATTCAAGAGCAGCATCTCTCCATCACTTGAGTGTGGCCTCTCAGCCTCCTCACTCGGGGCTGAAAGGAGCTTCACCTTTGGAGCAATTTCAACATGCTGAGAACTGACACATGGGGGAAAAGATACAGGAGCAGTGCAGAGAGGGAAATGAAAGTCAGGGAAACTGAAAACTCCTTGTGAAAAAAGGTCTATTTGAGCTTCAGGAAGCAAACCAAAAGCAAAGCATATCTGCTCCTAAGAGTGAAAAGTGATGAAGCAACTCCCCTCTTCTTCACTGCCTTTGACAAACAGTCCAAGTCCATTTCAGCTCCCCAGGTAAACACCAGAAGGTTCCAAGGGAAGATCAGTTTTATCCTGCTCTGTTTTATTCAAGTTTTCTGGGCAGAGCTTACTGCAGGTTTTCTGTTTTCTTTGTTCCTAATGATAGTGCAATTTTTTTGTTAATTATCTTTCTACCACTGTTAGGAGTCCTACTGCCAAACTTTAGCAGTAGCTTGCTTGTTTGGAACAGCAGGGAATGTAGATTTCCTGCAGAGGAATTGGCAGATGCAATGTCTATGACCCATGTGCTTTTGGCAATGATATATGAATATTTTTATATAATATATGAATATTTTCTATTTTTCATAAGAAAATCCAGTATCACCTCAATACAAGGCACCTCAAGCTGGCCTCCACCAAAATACCTGTGGCTTGTTGGGCTGACTTCTTAACATTTCTGAAGGTGATGATAAACAAGAGAATTTCAGACCAAGAAGCTGTAGAGCAACACTTTTCTGCCTTCTCCTACTGCATAGATGACCTGTACTGCTTAATCAGATTTAAGCACACAAACTTGTTCAAAACAAGTTCCTAAGTGTGTGTTTTCTCTCGAGTTGTCTATTGATAATATGCAAAGCAAGGATTTAAAGTTAGGATGGGAATGGTGCAGAGATTTTCTGAAGAGCTCTCAAACTACAAAGTGGCAATTGAACTTCTTTTATCACTTCTGCTGGACACAAGTCTCCACTGAGCAGAAATGCACTCACAAACCATTCCATCCCATCCAGGGCTTTAGCAGATGTGAACCAATCCTTTCTCTAAGTGACCTCAGAAAGGAGCAGAGGTGCAGAAAAGCCTTCATTAAAAACAAAGTGTTCTCTTTTATGGCTTTCTACAATATAAAGTCTTTATTGAAGCACGATTCTTGTGAGAAAATGTCTGAGAGATAATCACTCTGGTTTTCAGGAAGTGGCATTTACATCTCATGCAAGAAATACTGCCTTGAAATCTGTCTGCTTTAAATGCCTGTCACCATGTGTCCATACACCAGCATTGCTCACAGCTGCCACTTAACTCATCAGGTGACTCAGACAGTTCTGAGTAATTTTTTTGTTCTTTTTCTGAAAATAAATTGTTTGATTCTCAAATTAAATTCTTGAGAGTTTCAAGCTTTAGTGCTACTATTTTAAAAACGAATTATTTAAAAATACAGGGTTTTTTTTTTTCAGTTATCGTTTCAATCTTTTTTTTTTTTCTGGCAAAGTCATCAATATCCTGCAGACAATCATTATGGTAGAAAAAACATGTTTATGAATATGTGACAAGATTCAAGGGAACACAAGCTAGGACATAAGTGCACACTATAATTTATTACTTGTAATACCACAGTGCCTATGAGGTCTAATCACACACCAGGACTTTTTGGACAGTTAGAATTAAAGAATTCATTTAAGGCAAGCACTGTGGAGGTCTACCTTATAATATCATTATGGAATCAATTTTTACCAAACCTTTCCAACTCCAGAGCTGGGGCTTTATAGAAACCTCCACTGGAAAAACTTTGAGCAAAATTCTGAGTCATAAAATGACCAAAAGACAGTGGCACCATTCAGAAAGATTTTGAAAGGAATCTTATTTGTAGGCATAAGACTTTCCTTGCTGGAGGTAAGACCAAGCACCAATAAAGTTGAGATGGACCATCACTGCAGGAAAAGACAGGAGCTTCACATAGAAAGAAGCCTCTGACTTGAGCAGAAGAAACTAAATGTACTTGAGGAGTACAAAAATAATTCAAGGAACAGTTGAAATTTCAGTTCTGCTCTGGGAGTTGTCAGCTAGGAATGAATGGGGTGACTGCAGTCACAACAGATCATGGAGTGATTATGAACTGCCAGCAGGATGTTACCTGGGAAAAGGCAAATCTGATCCTGGGTGTGAGCAGAGGAAAGCTCCTGCAGCAGCAGCAATGCGTCAGTGCCACTGCAGGGAGGAGAGGCACCAGAAGGCTGTCCATGATTCTGGGCATCCAAGTGCAAATTGGGTCATCTCTGCCTGGAGCAGGTGGAGGGACAAGCTACCCTGATGACTTCCAGATTCATCTACTTTCCTATTTTGCAAAAGGAGAAGTTTTCTTGCTTTATTTAGCCAACTAAAACTGAGGTTGTAAGGGAATATGATGCAGTCCTTAAACAAAACCAGGCTGTTAACAACAAAGAGATGAGGAGCCTCTATGCTAAAAGACAATGTTGTTGCAAGAAAAAATGGACATTAATTGTTCAGCAATAAATGCAGGCTGAAATTCTAAACAATGTTCCCAATGAAAGAAGTCATATTTTGCAAACAGTCTGCAGATCAAAGCTGTGGGAGGATGAAAATGGTGTCTAGTTTTGAAACAGAAATATGTGTCTGCATTAAATGGGATGAAACAAGATGTATGTCTGCAAATCATGGAGAGCCAAGCACAGGGACCTTCTCCTGTGCACTCCAGTGTTCTTATGGGTTATTTTCCCAGCCTGTTTCTATTACACACATTGGGGAATCTATAAGAAACAGCAAACCTTGACTGTAAACATACATTACATTAAAGCATTTCTCAAATAATTTTATTCTTAAAAATAACCTTGAATCTATCATTTGTAAATGATCAACTGCATTGAATTCACATTGCTGTAAGTACTAGACAGGGATAAAAGAAAAGGCTAGATAATTCTGGTGGTGCAGTGGCAAACAGTGGTGGTTCACTATTTCTTTTGGTGGAAGAGCTGTGGGGCATCATCTGAAGATGGCTTGTTCACAAAAGGAGCTGCCCTCCCAAAGGCCTTTCCCTCACTGTCCCACCAAAGCCCCCCACAAAAGCCTGGCAACCAGAGAGCTTGTTCTTCCTGGGATGGGTGGCCAAACTGCTGAGGGATGTTGTAGATGCTAAGGCTTTGTAGGGTTAAAAAGAGAAAATGGAGAAATCTATCATTTTACTAATGTCCCCCTCCACTAATTTTTGGAAGCTGAGAGCTGACTGATGTAGTTCCATGTAGGAGCTGCTCTCATTCCTACACTCCTCCTGAGGCACCCACTCTTGCCACCATCACAGGTGGAATGCTGGGTTAATTCACTGCTGCTCTGATGTGACACTGCTGCTCCTGCAGTGCATCCCAGCAGCAGAGCACAGCACAGGCTCCTTTACCCCACATCAGCAGAGGTTGCCTCTGGAAGGTTCTGGAAGCAGCAGCTCTCGATTTCCCATTCTGCATGGCATGGAAGCAGCTTGCCTCCCCAAAGCTCTGCAGAGGTTATATGGTTTTCTCTCTTAACCTACACCTTCCAACAGGTTTGAAAATGACAAGTCATCACCAGCTTTAAGAATCAGTTTTGTACCTTCCTGGGATTCCAAGGGAAACAAGATAGAGGATTGGCTGAAGGGAAGAAAAAGCCAAAAGCAGCAAAACCCCAGCTGAGAGCAGAGCCATGCCCAACTCACCACATTTCATCATCCCCACTTCGTAGCACTTGCGCAGCCGGCACGCCTGGCAGCTCTTGCGCCGGTTTTTGTCTATCGTGCACTGGTTGGTGGCTGGGCAGATGTAGTCATTGTGTCCTGCAGCAGGGCAAGAAGGGAAAATTTAACATCTCCAGCCATCTTGGTCATCTCCCAAATCAGGAGTGTTCTCAACTTTAAACAACTGAGCTTTTTTGTGTGCATGTATCTAAGCTCCATTAATTTAACTCATGCAAAAATGAATATTTGTCCAATACTTTAAACATCAGCCTGTGGCCTCAAAATTAACCAGACATCATTACTCAGCTTTATAGTGGTGACTGTCAGACAACCAAGCATCTTCCAAAACCAACTCATTTTTCATTTTTTGAAAATGGAACATACACTCTTGTGGAAATTTCCTCCCAACCTCCAATTTTGTACTGTATATTGGGAGTCTATAGCTGGCATATACCTGTCACAGATATATTTTATGAAAAATTCTTTTGCTAGGATCTTTTCTCCTGAGAAGCTGAGAAGCTCTAGCTTTTCTATATTTTGCTGCTTTGGAATGTGATTTGGAGAATTGTTACCCAGCATGTGAAATTGTTTTTACTTGATGGCCAATGACAGCCACCTGTGTTGAGGCTGTGAGCAGTCACAAGATTTTATTATCACTTCATTCCCTTTCTATTCCTTGCTAGCCTTCTGATGAAATTATTTCTACTATTCTTTTAATATAGCTCTAATATATATTATATTAAAAGAAAATTATATATCATAAAATAATAAATCAGCCTTCTGAAACATGGAGTCAAGATTCTCATCTCTTCCCTCATCCTGGGATCCCTGTGAGCACCACCACAGATACCAGATTTTCCTTTTTTTTTCCCTCAGCAGACTTGAAAAGGGCAGTCCTGCAAAGATTTAAGTAAACTACAGCTCTATTTACTGAACTCTGACGTGGGGAGTTCCAGGAATGAAGAAGCCTTTGGAGGATTGACCCTGGACCAAAGTTAACAAAAAAAAAAAAAGGCCAAGATAAAAGGAGACCAGTAGGAAATAATGCATGCTGTAACTACAAAGAAAAGCACAAAGAGAGGGTGTAAGTTTCAGATATTCTGGACAAGTGTTTATCTTGCTTTGATCAGTTCTCACTGCAGCCTCTTTTGTTCTCTTCTTATTCTCTCCCATCTCGCCTCGTTCCCACCCAAACCCCTTTAGGTTACTGTAGTTCATCAATCAATAATCTGGTCCAAAGGTTTATTACTGTAAACTGGACTTGGGTACACTCCTGGTGTAAATACAGTTGAATAATCTCCTGCCAAATAGTGGAACTATCTCTTGCAACAATTACCAAAGGATGCAAAAAATATTCACTCATTTACTTTTCTTAATATCTTTTCTCCCAGGCTGCTTTTTAAGTTCGTTTGGGTTTGGTTTTTTTTCCCCAACCAAGAATAAGATCAGACAAAAATACAGCTACTAGAGTGATGGTTTTTTTTTCACTTGGTGAAAATCCAAGAGTTCATGTCCCCAAGAGTAATTATTTAACTGAACCATTGTGACTATTGCCATGCAAAATTAGAATTATTTTAACCTTGAATTTTTGAACTGACAGTTTTAAAAAGAAGAGCTCACATTACAGTTTGTCCCATTTCTTACTGGCAGATACAACTGAAAAATAAATTACTATTTATCACTCTTCACACAACATGGAGGGAGAGGAGGGAGAAACTCTCCATTGCACACAGGACTATAAAGTGTTTTAAAGCTCTTGTGGCCTTGGAATAATTTAACTTGCAGGCAGATGTTCAGTGATGTGGGACAGACTACACTAGACTCAGATAAGCCAAGGAGACCACACACAGTTGCTCAGTCATACTTCTAATTTTAATTTCATTAATAAGGCCAACATTTTGCTCTATGGCAGGCCCAGAAGTCTTTTATTTTAATACACAATATCCTGCATAACAGGCATTGCAGCTGAGTGCTTGATAAGTGTTTTATGCCAAGAACTGGCTTTATTTTATGTGCCTTTTTTTATTCTTTCCTTTGAATTACAAACTCACTACCTGACAGGGTACACTGAGGTGTACAAAAGACCACAGTGGGTAACTTGCTGCTGGCCTAAGTACATGTGAGCAACACAGATCAGGGAAAGCATTGACTTGACAGAAAACACCTTGAGATCAAATTCAGACTCCATTTGTGACAATTGGACACAAAGGTCTCTTCAATTATTTTAGAAATTCACAGTACTTGCACCAGCTTGTAGAAATTGCTATCCACCTGTGCAGAATCTGCACAATGAATTGAAAAGGCAAAACAAAGTTCTGAATTAAATTTGATTCTCCTAGGGCACCATCTCTGCCATACTGAGCGAAAAGAAAATACCCGAAGATTCCTAAAGGCTCTGCAGGCAGAAGTGGGAGAGGAACAGTAAAGATCAAACAGCAGCAGGATTCTCTGCATTGGCATCCACATGTAGCAGCCAATGTCAATAGAAATGATTTTCCACCAAATGACCTGAGATGAGGCCAAAGATCAGGATAACTAGGCCAAGGTTAAAGAAAATAAGTGTCCAAATCTGCAGTACAGTGCCTGTGTGACTTCCACTGGCTGTGACAGCAAATGTGGAGCCTCGCACTTAATTCACACTGCAGCCATACAGCAAACTTGAACTAAATACCAAATATTTAAGAATTTAAACATGGAAGTGGAAGTCTTAGATAGAGAGGCCTGTCAGGGTAAGAGATACTGCAGTGCAGGCTCTGAGGGGTGCAGGGCTGAGCATTAATGGTTATCAGGTTAGCACCTGATATTTGCTACACATACTTTTCCATCCTCCACAGTGTGTGGATATTGTACACTGTGACTCAACAGCTCCAGGCAATAGACTCTTGTCAAGAAGAGCTCCCAGCAAGCAAAGTCTCCAGATAATTGCCTACTCTTACTGTGCCTATGACAATTAATTCTCAATTACTACAACTCAGCTGGGCCACCAAATCCACCAGATCCACAGGTCTGCAGTGCCATCCCAGCCAGGCCTGTGCTGCAGGGCCTCACTGTGCTGTGCATTCCACCTCTTCTCTAAAGAAATCAAGTCCTCACTCTGTAACATTTCCAATCTTGATAACAGCAGAGCCAAGAGATAAAACAGCCAAATCATGTGCTGCTCTATTTTCAGCATGGAGCACCAGACACCAGGGTTTCAGAGCTGCTCATTACTAGGTCAACTGCTGCAGCCCCTGGTCACATGAAACTATTTATTTAAGCAAATGAGCATAACCTGTTTGTCCTACCTTGAATGCTTCTTTTAAAAAATGCTTTGCAGCCTTCACAGGACCAGACCCCATAGTGGTATCCTGAAGCATAGTCACTGCACACTGCACAGAAGTGGGCATCCTTTTTTGAGCCAGGGTTATTTGCAATTGGGCTTGTACAGTCGTTGCCATTCGTTTTTCTTTTTAATGTTTCTCTGATAGAAGAGAAAGACATGTGTTATAAAAGAGGAAAAATTTAAACTGCACCGCAAAGAGTTTCATAATTTTTCATTGTCTTCTATTCTCTCTCTATAGAGTCTTCATATTCCTGAAGACAGGATAGGTGAAATACTGCTAAGCCTTTTCTGACAAGATAAAGCATTTAAAGCACGTAGTCTGATCCCAGTGATGACACACTAGAAGGATTTAGGCATAAACCTGGACTGCTGCTGAATCAATCAATGAACCCTGGGAAAAATCATATTGAATGCTGATGGGTCTTGAAGAATTATTGGAAATAGGCAAGTCCAGGAATTTGTGAACCAAGTGGATTTTGCCTCTTGAGAGCTTCACAGGGAAAGGAGAACTCAGGCAGCTCAGACCGACATTATAAATGCTACAATGGACAGAGATGCAGTTGCTTTGTCCTGTTAGTAAGGCAAAATTACAACACACATCCATTCCCAATGCTTCATCCCTTACATGAGGCTTAACTCATTCAATGACATTCTGCAGACAAATAACTGAGGTGTGAATCTCAGCCTACAAGATCAGCTCATGATGTTTTCTGTTCAGCCCACGTTGATCACCCTGATGCTAAACAAAAAGTCTGAATATAAGAAGAATGAAGAAACGCAATTAATAAAATACTTCCATGTGTTTAAAAAATTGCTGCTCTATATAAATTAGTAAGATATAGACATCCTTGAAGTGTTGCAAATAACTCCAAAATACAGGAACTATTCTTCATGAAGGGATTAAAATTAAAACAGGAAGAAACATGAAAAAACAGCCAATTCCTGACACCAAGATCCTGTAAACAAACAAAAGAGGAAAGGAGCTTGGGTTATCAGTAATGTTTGGTTTAGGTAGAGGAAGTAAATCCATTGTATCCTTTTTATCTGGACCTCATTTTCTTGGTGGGTTTTGCACAATGTGCTTTCAGGGTCAATGCAATTTCTAGACAGAGAGAAAAGAGTGTTATGTGCAAACTCTGAGCAGCTCAGAGTTTGAGAAAAGGAATGGTGTATAGTCAGCTTATAGGTATAAATTCAAGCGTAGAGGCAGAACTTCAGAACTCTAGAATTTTCCTCATCCAACCTTCTAGAAGGATTAAGGAGGAGAAGAAAAATCAGTTGGGATAAGACAACAGGTAGCATGGTTTATGACTTCTAAAGAAGGACAAGTTTAAACAGAATAGTAGAAACATGCTGAAAGTGCTGTCAAAGAGGCTTTAACTAATATATTAAAAGTAGATTTTTGTGCTGGTTTCATGACAGGAGGTAAGGACAAACACACCCACGTGTCAACTGAAAATCATCAAGTTCATAAGTTTTTGAGGAGAACATGCTCTAATTTCCTTGTAAAAAAATTTGGAAAGGAGGAAAAGGTGCTTCTTGGAGCAAATTTCAAAACAGAAAAATTAAGATATTTGTTGTGCAATTAAGTTACTGAGCGATTTTTTTTAAATGTTAATTCGTTCAGCTACAGCAGGGCAGAGGAATGTTTAAGTATTTAACAAGCTGGGTCTTTGATTACACACACACTTCATTATTGGGTTGGTGAATCACTGAGTTATTTCCCTCTCTGCTGGGAACTCCAGTGAGGGGAACTCTCCCCAAGAGTAAAGAGGCTGTATCACAAATGCCTAAATTGCTGCTAATGAAAGGAGGGAAGAGCATTCCTATTCCTTCCTATTCCCCTGTGTTTGGCAGCAAAAGGGATTTGGCATTTCACATTAGTAAAATATGTATTGATGCTGGGTTCTACATAGAAATACTACCTTTATAAAAAGGAATTAAGACTTCACTTAAAGTGATAAATCACTGATTTTCTCCTGGTCATCCTTCTACTCTGAGCAGCCTGCTCTAGAGGAAGGTGTCCCTGTCCATGGCAGAGGGGGTGGAACTAGATGGTCTTTAAGCTTTACTTGGGAAATGTTACCCAATTGTGAGGGTCAGAAGAGGCTCAAAATCAGCTGGAGAGCCTCTCTGTGACTGATTGATATGCTGTAGAGATCAATGTTTATTGCCCTTGATAAAACACTGAGGTTATGGATGAAAATAAAGAAAAAACAACACCACAACACCTGGGTGAGGATTGTTGGTAAAAACCTCACCCAGTCATGATAAGTGTATTTAAAAAGCACTTTTTCCTTGCTTAGAAGTCTAACAAGAGCCACCCAGCACACAAGCCAGCTGCAATGCCTCCTCAGACTCCTGGCAAACAGCTGGAACACAGCAGAACCATCTGGAACAAATTCCTGCTGTGGGCCAAGCAGCACCAGAGCAGCTCATCTGTGACAGCTGCAGCCTCACCCCAGGAAGCTCAAACCCCATCAGTTTGTCTGTCTGTGAGGGCTGCAGAGCCTGCAAACAGTCAGGGCTTCCAGGTAAACATCCCATACCCTGAGATCTGCTGCTCCAGCAGCGTTTCCACACACAGGGCAATCCAGAGAGGGCAGCCCCATGCAGGGGGAGAAACATCCCAGCTGCTGTGGGACTGGGGCACCCCATGCTCAGCAGAGGAATGAGCTGCCAGGTCCTGCAGGTGAGCTGGAAGTGCTTGGATGGATGCCCACCATGCTCCTGCACCAAAGGATGCAGGAAAACAGAGGATGTGCCCTGGTGGCCACAGAGGAACCTTTCATATGGTGAGAGATTTATCACTTCACACCTCCTAGTACTCCTTTCTATTTTATGATGCTGGGCTCTATATAGAAATACTACCTTTCTAAAAAGGAATTAGGACTTCACTTAAAGTAATAAAACACTGATTTTCTCCTGGTCATCCTACTCTCAGCAAGCTGGTTTACGGGAAGGTGTCCCTGTGCATGGCAGAGGGGTTGGAACTAGATGGTCTTTAAGACACCTTCCAATTCAAACCATTCTGTGAAGAAGAGGTTATACTCCAGAATTTCTTGATTCTCTTTAAGTTAGGTCATCATCAGCTGCATGACTCTTTATATATCTATACAAATAGCTGATGACTTATTTATTTAAACTCCAATGGGACAGGTTCATCTTCCCTTCTGTCTGTTGCAGAGAGGGCACTGCAGAGCATCAGACAGGATGCTCTTGCTCCTAGGTTATTCCAGCTGCTGTCCCAACATCGGGACAGCTTCAAACCCTAAGCTTCCCAGGGTTGTCAAAGTTTTGGAACCTTAACCAAAGTGGAAAGAGTTTGGGTGTGATCCCTGTTCACATCAAAACTGCTTGGGGAATTATGCATGTAAGTGCTGCCCAAAGAGTCTTTCCCAATCCACACACCTACACTGAGAGCATATTTGCACTCCATAAAGCCCACTCATTGCAGAAGGAGTGTGGGAAGTCTCAAAAATAGCACAAATCCTTTATTAACCATTGACTAAAACAGTTCCCAGGACACACTATTTTTCATGCTCCAAACGACTGCTGAAGTTAAATAAGGAGGCTATGAATAAACATCCAGCTGCTGAAGCAGGAACAGCACCTGCAGCCCTGAGCTTTAATCCATCCAAAAAGTGTGTGCCCAAGAACAGAGCAGTTTCATCAGATGATGATCCAGACCCTGGTTAGGGTTTCCAATGTCAGTAAATCTGCAGAACAAGAACGTGGTTTTGCAAACAGAGTGTCTTGTCAGCTGAAAGTTTAGCCTCTGACTCTGCTCTTCACAGCAACTTTACAAAGTCAGTTGGGAACAGCAGCAAGAAAAAAAGTCAGGTTTTTTCAGCAGCAGCCTGCTTTTAACATCATGCATGCTGCTGTGTGACTGCTCATACTAAAGCCAAAAAGCAAAGAAAAACATTTCCATCGAATTTCAAGTTAACAAAAAGCCTTCACATCTATTAGAAGCAGTAAAAAAAAAAAAAATGGGTAAAAACGAATTCAACAATATTGTATGAAAAGGTAAAAGGAATTAACATTTACCTCTTTCACTCAAAGGACTTAATCTGCCAGAGCAAAATTAATTTTGTCGCACAAAATAGTGTCTAGCAGTCTTGAACTTTTTTTATGCAATGTAAACTGTTCTCACAGTGAAGGTATTTGTAATGCTCTGTGTTGGTGTATAGGACTCTAAGGAGGTATTGGGGGAAAAAAATCTTATTTCAGAAGATACAATAAAAACAAACAAATAAACCACACACACAACTAAATAAACCACACACACAACTAAATAAACCACATACACAACACTCCCTGGGTGATTTGGTGTCTCATGGAGGTTTTTTTACAGCATTTTGTTTTTCAGAGAGAGCAGCACTTTAATTCAAACACAAAAAGCAAAGCCTTGAGCTAAGGAAGCTGTAGACAATATTTATCCAAGTTTTAAACCAAGCATGACTGACCTGGTGGCGGGCAGCACGGGCTCCATGGGGCGCGCCTCGCACCACAGGCTCTTGGGCTGCTCCGCGTACAGCAGGGAGGGCTGGCAGTGCAGAGCCAGAGGGGACAGGTGGCCAGGAGCAGACCACAGGGCGCTGGGGCTCGAGGTCTGCCTGGCTGCCACACCCTCCGGGTCCCCAAAATTGCTGGCGATGTTGTAATTGACCATGGCGGGGCTGCAGAACGCCATGGTGGAATATTCGTGCCTGTTTTCCATGAAAGATGAGGGAATGTAGACTGGGCTGTGCTCTGCTGTCAGCGTGGACTGATTGCAGCTGTAAGGGACTGGAGAGATGACGCCAGCAGGTGAATTTTTAATTTCTGTTTTATTGCATCCAATATCCTGAAGTGGCAGCAACTGAGAAAAGTCCTTGTGAGAAGATGTGCACAGGGACATTTTGAAGCAAGATTGAAGAGGGTTGTTTAAATATTCATCCTAAGACAATAAAGAATTAAAAAAAAAAAAAAAGACTTAAAAACCAAAAAAGCTCTGCATTAGGTCTTTTCAATAAAAGAAAAAAGGAACCAGTAAACCAGAAAACATAAAAAGTTTCGTTAAAACAGATTGCATTCCAAATGCACTTAAATAGTCAATGTACAAATTTACTGCCTTTAAGTTAAAGAAAGCTTTCTAGAATATCCTTAAAAATAAAAGCTAAAACACATATTGAGTTCAGACTCCCTTAAAAAAATAATAATAATTTTAAGAACAAAACTATTTGAGGCCTGCCTGAAACAAAGATCAAGATGACAAATTACCAGGAGTTACAACCAGGGTAGATCTGCTCTCTATCAGAGATAAAATTACCCCAAGGTCCACAGCTATGGAGGAGAAATCAATTCTCTTCATAACAACTCACCATCTCCTGCTGCTAACTGCACCAGAGCCTTCAGCCTTGAGCTCCAGGGTGCTTCCCATTTCCATCACAAACATGTCACAGCAGGCATTGTGAAAGCAGACAAACACACACACACATCCCCTACACCCTCCAAACCCACAACTCCACTGCAGATCCCCCTGCACAGAGGAGGAACACAGGGAGTGGATCTCAGCAAGGTGCAACTTCATCACTGAGGGGTCCCTGGGCACAGCAGCTCTGCACAGGGCCATTAGAAAAGTAGAAATCATAAAATGCAGGTATTTCCAAAGCTGACAATAGAACTCAAGTGATTTCATGAGGTTCAGAAGTTTTATAATTCCCTGCAACTCTTCATCCCCATCCCAACTACCCCCTGTTCTATCTCCCATCTCCCTCAGCTATCAAAACAAGACCTTAAATTGCCCACTGTAAATACTCTTTGCCAGATTCAGGCATACACATATTATTTAAGAGAGAAAATAAATTTGAAAAGATAAAAAAAAGCCCACCAAAATTATCCTCCTGAGACAGACCCCTGTCCTAGAAGCATTATTTTACTGTAGAATTAAAAACATTTTTTCCTTTATTCTTCACTAAGAGTTTCATCTGCAATTCATTCCAGCTCTGAAGACAGAACTAGTTTGCAATTCAAAACAATTCTGTATCCAAAAGAGCAAGTTTCAGCCCCAGAACTAATATTGCAATGTACTTTTACATATAACAATAAGATCCTAACATGAAAAACCCCAGGATAACTAAACATTCACCCACAGCTTTGCTATTCCACAAGTGGCCAAGGTAGAGATGCTAAATGTTCTTACCTTTTTTTGCCTCACATGACCATGAAGAAGATGAGGAAGATTCAAGCATGGGTTTGTGGAAGTACCAGCAACCTCCCTGTCCCCAAGGCTCTCAGCCCAAAGGCATTTCTAGTGTGCCACCTTGGGCCATTGATACATCTTTCTCCTCTAGGGTGAGGACTGAGAGTAGAAGCATTAACAGAAAATGGAAGATATAGTCTTTTTGACTAAAATGGATTTTTGAGAGTCTTTCCTTCCTCCTCACTCTGCATCTGGCAATGAAACTGAAGATATGTGGAGAAATAACCAGAAACTCATTTAAATCAGCTCCGGCGCTTTAACCCAGCTGCTGTTTTTTCCTTTGTGGGAAACAGGAAAATGAGATATCTCAGCAGCTGTTTGTGTCCAGCAGTTCTTGGACTGGCCCTCCAGAGTAGCCCAAGCAGGGGATTGTGACCTCACCCCTCACAAACCCACACTCTTCACCTGCCCCCAGCAGATGCTTCACAGCCTCCTCCATCCAGGAAAAACCAGGCATTGTGCAAATTCACCGCAAAAAAACACTGATAAACCCAAAGGTGCTTTCACTCCCAGGTTATGGGGTGGGTAATTTTTTTAGAAAGAAATGATGGAACAAAAAAAAAAAATAGGAGTATCTTCAGGGGTTACTAGGAGTGAGCCAAATGAGCACGCTGGATTCAATGCACATTTAAAGATTCAAGTTTGAGCAAAGCTGAATTCCCCTTGCAGTCTCAGAGGCTGCAAGTATTCAGGATGAGCATGGGTACTCTGCCACACATCTGGCATGTCCAAGGAAAGCTGTCTGTGCTTTCTTTGTGCCTCTGCCTCCTTTGGAAGGACACACAGCACAGGGGAACCCCAAAGCCTCTGCAGGGAAGGGCCTGAGCATCATCACAGCAACATCTCTGTTCCAGTCAGCCAGGGACATTGTGCTGTGCCAGCTTTTGCAGCAGGCAAACTGGCTGTGTGGTTTCCCTCAGCGTTCAGCAAATAAATGCCTGCACACTGCAAAAGCAGAGAGAACACAGAGCTGCTACTACGGAATTTTATGAACAGAAATCAGCTGAGATTTGAGTCATGTTTTTTCTGCAGAGGAATCCACTAATGAGCGTGAGCTTAGCAGGAGGAGATATTGTCTCCAAAGGGCAACACAGAGCATTTAGAAACATACACAGAAGTTATCAGGAGCAAGAGTAAAGCTTGTTTTAGGGGAAGAGTTCACACAAGCATAAGGAGTCAGCACAGCTTTCCTGAAAAACACGCTGCTCATAACTTATTTACAAGAGAAGGAGACTCTGGGGTCCAGCAGGTTAAAGAAAACTGTACTCGTGGTCTTCAGCAGGCTGAAATGTAGTGAAAAAATAACAGTATTGACCTGAGATTATTAACTTGAGTAGCAGAAATAGTCTAGCCACAGTACACCATGGATCTGCATGAGATCACGTTGATCACATTTCTTTACACCCACAGAATTTCAAATGGGAAGCCCAGAGACTCACAATAAAGTGAGACTGCTGAAATTATGCATTATTGCTCAGAAGGTCCTAAAAATTGCCTGCTGAACTGTGAAGTTGTGTGTCTTAAAGAAGAACGGAAGAATGAGGGAAACAGACTCCAAGATCTGAGACTCAAGAAAAACTCCACAAACACCTCAGAAGGAAGCACAGCCACATTTAATGCAAGGACTACAATAAGTAGAGCAATAGCTAATAAATTTGTTCCATCCTGGTATAATGTCATCATATTTTAAAAACTACTCATGAAACAGAAATGAACTACTTCCTAAAGTGAACTCCTGTCCCAACACGCCCTTTTCCTCTGAAGAAAGACTTTAAAAGCAAGATTCAATGATAAAATACATTATTTAGATGCAATCTGTCAGCTCTGCACTAGATCTGGACCAGACACAGAAACAAAACAGGTGTCTATTATTTTTATATCCCAGTCTCCTGAGAGCCTGCAAATGTTTCAGTCCACTGAAGTCAGTTTAGCTTAGCGAGATATTCAACAACTGAAATGCCAATTATTAAGTAAACCACAGCCATTCTGGCCAGTTCCTCAAGTAACACTTACCATTCACAAATCTAAGGCACTACAGGCAGGATTCCCTTCTGACACAGAGCAGCTTCATTAGCTCCAGCACCCTGAGGATGACACCACTATCCATGAGGATGTAGGGGAAAAATGAATGTTATCAATGTTCTCCACCAAAAAAAACAAAACAAAAAAAAATTTTAAAAAAAACTAGGTTTCTTGTCTTTGAATAACTCTCCAACAACTGAATGTATCTTGAGTCACCATGCAAGACATGCCAGATGAGGCACAAGGGCTGGTTTAGATGTCATAGTCAAACAGACACATGGGTAAATAATTAAGCCATCTGACGTATTTCAACAAACTCAAAAGCCTCTTACTGCACATTACCTATACCAAGAACCTCTTTAAAATCCTTGTGGGAAAAAAACTAATTAATTTTTTTCCAGTTTTAGGTTTGTATGGTTGTTTGGGATTTTTTTTTTAGTTTTGGAAAGGAGAAAAGTAGGTAGAGAAGGCAGGGTGCCTGCTTGGGAACACAGCACAATAGCTTTTCCTAGAAAAGTACAACCCTTCAAAAAGCAAGGGAGTGATGGATGTTCTCAGGCACCCTTCCATCAACATACACTACAAACTGCTTAGCATTTCATATATATTTTGAGTAAAGATTTTTTGCAATAGAGAATCAAGATGACCTTTTTCTCTCTGCTAGGCTTAGACTAAAGTGCAATCCTGGTGCCTTTGGGTTTAATAGAGGTGATTCAGCAAGCATGCATTCCACCACCCCACAGCCAAAGATCCTCAGTCATCTCACAAAGCATTCTATTAATATTCTCTTCAGTTCTATTTTACACAGCTCCCTGCAGCAACAAACTGAATCATCTTCTGGAAAAGTGATTACTAAAGGAAAGTCATTCCTGATGCAGATGATACTTGTGCTTCAGACAAGCTTATTACTCATTAAACACAGCAGTGCCAGATATTGCCAACAGAAGGCAGGCAAGTAAACAAGTTTATTATTACCTGAGAAGGACTGGATGCAACAAGTAGGAGAGAGATAGGGAAGCAAAATGGAAAATCCAGCTGTCTGTCCAAATTTCGGATATTGTACTCATCCTCCAAAATTAAAAACCTGTCCTCAATGGCCTCAAGACCTACTCTAAATAAAATAGTGCAGCTCAAAATCTGGGGACAGGGAAAAATCTGGACACAGGGAAAAATACTTTGAAACAAGCAAAATGAGCATTCTTTAGCCTTTGTTAGCCTTTAAGTTACTCAGGACACTGACAACTCCTAGATTATTCTAAACATTCATAAATACATTTCAGAGTTCAATGGACATGGGGGCACTAAAGGAACTGGATTTGTTCCACTAGAGGAATACACAACTTCAGCCTTCCACCCCATAAAGTGGAATTACAAAGACAAGGAGTCCAGACTCTTTTTCAGGAGATCACAGTCACATGCCAGTGCAAGGGAAATCCCAGTAAAACATGAGGAAAAATCTCCACAGTGAGAATTAGGAGCAGGAATAGGGTACCCAGAAAGGCTGTGAAATCCCAGTATTTGGAAAGATTAAAAAAGACTCACTTTGAGCAGGATGTTTGATTGATTGGTCTCTAGATTTCCCTTCCCATTACTGAAACATATTTTCAGATCTCAGTTCAAACTAGAATTAAGGTTGACTTTACTAGTTTTCAGCCTTTAAATTTGTGGATCAT